AAACAAAGCTCAGCATCATTCAGTTGGATTTTAAAATGACTCGGTAGAGCCTATATGGCTCACATACGACCTAAGTCACCGAAAACACGTACTTTTCTTCAAGAATTACTCAAGGCTGACTATTTAAGAACATAAATCATGACTTTTAAAGCTGAGATATTGGCTTTTGCTCACATGCAACTAAAAATGACTCGGGAGCTCAAATAAGCTAAAAATCAGTTCCTACTTCACCGAGTAAATGAACTCCAAACATGATCAAACTTTACTGTAAACCCCACTTTGACTTAAACGAAAATCAAATGGCTTTGCTGAAAAATTAAATTAAATTCTTCAATTTCAATTCAAACATTTATGGCGTTACTCATTTATATCAAATTTTCTTTTTCATGACATAGCATCAAATCATAACATAAATCATCATTCATATAATTCAACTCCCATAAAAGGGTTCATCCAAATCATCCATTACCGAAACCGGGTTTTCAAATCATCACGGTGTTCATGGGGCATCTCCCCAACATTATTTCAAATCATAATATTATCAACTTCATAAATAGCAGAAGAAACAAATAATACGTTGGTCTCAATGACCAACCACCACTCGCATCCCTCCACCGTGCCCGCACTTACTAACCTGCAACCGTGAGAAAACAGGTGGGGCTGAGCACAATTGGAAACCGTGGTGCTCACCACTATGCAGTAAACATTATTCAATATAAAACAATAATCATAAAATAAGGCAGGTATGGTCGCAGCATGTATACGAAAAAATTATCTATCCCAATCTCCCATCAATAATATCAATAATAAGACTCATGTGCACACCTACGCATAGAATACTGCTGACTATATATCGAAAGCCCCTTGGGTCTTACAACAAGTGCCATCCAGTAGAAGTAAACCACCCCGCCAGCCAAGAACTACGAATTGGTCTTACAAACGGGGATCACCTACGCCTTGGTTTTACGGCTCTGAAAAAAGAGACTACCCAACTGGTACGTTCTATAGCTACGGGATAACCGTTCTACAGCCGGTACAGCTCACATCGAAGGCTACATGGTTTAAATGCATACATTGATCATACCACAAGCAATCATTAATAACATTTACGGCATATTAAATTTCAAATAAAACCCACCATGTTAGAAGCAACAAATATCACGAAAATACGAGTAGGTTTAGAGCTCGACTCGTCAAACACCTACAATAATTAAGAGGGCCCTATCAAAAACTATCTGACCCATGCACTAACTAACTCATGGCATTTATGAATCTTATCAAAACACTTAGATCAATTAAGCCCATATAAGTCATAGAAGCAAGCATTAAAAGATAACTTTTATTTTCGGAAGCACCACATGAATTTTTAAAACATAACTTGTGCAGCGATTTTGAAATCGACACCACTTGCATCACATAAATCATATCAACCTGATTCAAGTTGCATTAAAACCCTAAGACATGCCTCTACAATTATTATGAAGACACCGAAAATAAATAACGGTATTTAGCAGGTGATAACTCAACAAACATCCAAAATAGAGTAGCATTCTAAAATTGAGAACTTGCAACCGACCAAACTTCAGTATTTACTAGATAACTAGAGCTACAGACATGCTTTCAATAAGATTCAAAATCCAAAATGCAGCCAACCCAATTATATACAACTTTGCTGAAGATCACATTGGCAAATAATGACATTATCAATGAGTTTAAACACCAAACATGCGAGTCATAAAATCTGCCAGAAACCAAAACAAGTTATACAAACAGCACTTCAGAAAATTGACTCTAACTCATGCTATAGACCATCAAATGACTTGATTCAAATCTCAAACTAAACCTAAGGCATGCACCTACAACTTTTATTTAGGCCACAGAAGCAGATAAAGTCATTATATGGGGGTAAAAGTAATTAATATTTAAGAATATGTTTATGCCAAAGTACAAACCCTACCTCATGTATATCTACATTCATTTGAACACAACTCGAGCTACAGAGCTTGTATCAGTATGCATCATACTTCAAAAGAAAGATAAGAAATAGACATGATAAACATGTCAAACATAAAATAAACACACGCTGCCGGGTTTTAATAAAAACTGTTTGCGCGACAATTTTGCAAAAATCATAACTTATTGGTTTCAAATTAGAGTCACATGATTCCAATACTCAGAGAAAGCTAACAAAACGAACTTCATTTCATATGAAGAACCGAACATCAAATAACAAGTTTCTGAGGGCTAAAATCGAGGTACAACATAGACTGTACAAACGAGATTTATCATGCGAGCTGGGAATAACTTAATCATATTGCATGCTTATAGAACATCGAGGGCATGTAAAAAATCTTAAAAAACTTAATATCATCTACTAATCATGCTAAAAAGATAGCATCTTACCTCCTTCAAAAAATACTAAAATGAAAGAAATAAAAGAGATGTCGTTCAATTCTTCTCCTTCTCTCCCTCTCTTGCTTGAACTCGATTTTTCTTCAGTTTCTTTGCTTCCTTCTTGAAACTTGGTGTTTCTAAACTCTCCTAGGCTGAAGTTAGAATGAGAGAGGATGCTAAACTTGCTGAGTTTCTCAAATTTAGGATGTTAAAAAGAGCACAAAATGGTTGGTTGAACAACTAAGGAGCATGAGGGGGACATTAGTTGACTATCTCACCTCAATTGAACATGGTTTAGCATCTTGCATGTGGAGGAGCACATGAACGAGATGTTGGTTGTTTAAATGCTGAGAAATCTGGTGCAAGAATTAGGATAATAGGAGAACAAAGTCTTACACTCAAATTAAACAAATACTAGCACATGATGGAGGAATTGGCATTTAGTGGTTGTTTGTCTTGGAATCTCATGGCTTGGGACAAGAGTAGACTTGACATGTGATTAATAAAGACAAACAAAGGAGTGGTGGTGCATTCGGCCACATGCAAGAGATTAAGACATAAATGATTGAAAAATTCAACTTATGTGACATATGACTAAATAAAGATAATGTCACTTGTATGGATGATTCTAAGCTCAATAGATTCGGTTTTTGTATTCAAAATAGCTGAAAATACTTGCTAACTTTGGTCTTGATGCTTCTTAAAAAAGATTGAGAGGAAAAATAAATTTAACGGAACCAAATTCGGACTTAAAATCCGACTATAACCGTCAACCGAAGAATTCGACTATGATTTAAATTTTTAAGTCTTTTGGTTGGTTTTGATGGCTGAATATACTATTAAAGAACTAGAAATATAATGGTATTAAGGGCTGGTTGAATCGGTTCGAAGTTCGGGTCGCAACGGTTCAAAAAAGGAATTAAAACGGACAACAATTCAGTTTACGCGATTAAACCGAAAATTCAAACGATGATCGATAAAATAAAATCGAACGAGTTGTATAATTATATTATCCACATAATAACATAATATATAATCACATAATCGAGACATATAAATAATAGAATAAAATACCATTAATCAAAATATACTTAGAAAAATCTAATATTCGAACAGGGCACTACATTTACCAACATCATATTCATAATTTATAAGGATTTTTAAGCTATTAATCTCAGCCTAAACATGCTTGGAACTAAAAATCCGAATTGAAGGACTTAAACTTCAAAAATTCATAGCTTCTTCTCTAAGCATGCATAGCTTGACTTCTCTACACGATAAATCTTAAAATATTATGTACTAACTGGAAAAATTGGCTAGAACTCATTTACCTTCACTAAGGCACGAAGATGAGACAAGGCCCTCCCTCGGCACTTCGTCAGGGTCTCTCGACAATAGCCTTGCTACGACTGCTCTTGGCTATGAGTAATGGACTATTTGAACTCCTTGCACTCCCTAGAACTCCCTGAAATCAGGTTGGTCTGGCTGACCTCAACGTAAACAATAAGTGGCTCGCTCGGTGTTTGCTTCTCTCGACAATAGGGTGCGCACAAGGCTTGGCTAAGTAGTTCTCTCGGCTTTCTCTCTATAATTCTATGAATAGAATGGTATTTGGACTTAAGCTGGTTTAATTGAAGTAAAAAACAGCTCAAACATACCCTTAGGCTATTCATAGGCAAATTAGGAAAAGCTAGCATGAGGTGGCATTTAAAAAGACACTTAGCATTAATTTGTGCTTTAGTGGCATACACATGAGCTTAAGCCCAGAGAATTTGCAACTTAGGGCTGAATTTGGATGAAATTTGTGAACTAAACACTTAGAAAATTTCCAAGGAAATGCTATAATGGCTTAGCTAGAACTTGAGCCGAAGCTAGGGCATGACTCAACCGAACTTACTCGGTTCAGGTTGTATTTGACTTCGACGATTTACTCGAGTATTCTTGGCTTTGAATAATACGTCGACATGAAATAATTAATCCAGAACGTACTAATGTTCATTTATAAAAGTAAATGGATCAGAACTAATTTCTAAAACTGATTCGGTTACTGAATAAATTAACCGAAAATATTTTCGACTTAAAGTCAAACTTAGAACTGAAAGACTTAATAATTGGCTCGAAACTCAAAATGAGCATTATTAATAAAATGAAAAATAGTTCAAACTCGGAACTAAAATATCACTTTTATTAATAACAGAACGGGACGTTACACATCCGATGGCTCCATAGTAAAACTAATATGACGTAATAACGTTATCCAACTTATTACTATTATATGCATACAAATAACTTATAACACTTTATTGACATATGTGGAAATGCACGTGGTCGAATATTAATATGTGGGGATGTAGATTAAAAAGTAAAACCCGATCAAGGAAAAATGTCTTTCTAGTGATAATAAACCCATTTATTTATAGCAAATGGCATCTTCCGCCATCTTCACGCTCACTCGTCATTGCTATTCTCCCAGTTTCCGAACTGCAAATTTTCACAGATCATTTAGTTTCCATCAGCAACTTTTCCTCAACAGAAGAAGAATCGCAGTTACAACAATGGCTTCGTCTGTAGAAGCTGCAGGAACCGCACCGGAAGTAGGCACCAAGGTCACTGCTCCGTACGGTTCCTGGACGTCCCCCATCACCGCAGATATAGTTTCCGGTTCCGATAAGCGGCTTGGCGGCTTCGCGACTGATTCTTTGGGTCGGCTCTACTGGATAGAATCTCGACCGAATGAATCTGGGTATGATGTACTGTTGTAGTTTTTGCGGGTATGATGTACTTTGTGGGTTTCCGTTGGTTTCAAATTAATTCGTTCGTTTCCCTTATAGCGAAGATTTTTAGAGCTTCAATTTGCTGCTCAAGAATCGGTTCTGTATGAAAATATGTGAAATGAGCGAGCTCATTAGTGTATTGTTGATTTCGATAGCAAAGTGAGAACCTTGCTAAATCATATGCTTGTTCCAGTTGCTTACCCATGATACATAAGATTAAGCTCTGCTGTATTGTTGATTTTTGTTTCAGAAAAAAATATGAGCATGTTTTTTATGAAGGAATATGAACTCTTTTGTTGCTGGATTAGTATACCGTTACAATTATCAAAATTGTAGAACTAACATCCTTCCATGCGTTCTGTTTTTGGTTTTCTTTTTCTTCTGTTCATTCATTTCCATTGTTTGAGCAGTTGGGG